GGAGGTTTACAGTTGTTCATATGGAAAACTAATACAATAATTAATAAATAATACAAGATTAAACTCTGTTTTGCATACCTGTAAACAACTTGGTTGAGAACCTATCTGTTTGAGGCGGGAGATGTTCGAGAACCAACTTTCTCGAACGTCTTCCATCTAGAACAATAACCCTTTCACGCTGATACCTGTATAATCAATCATGTGTCTCTGAGTAAAGGTATTTTTCTCTTGGTCTATGACCTCTGCCTGAGTCTAGGACCATGCTGAGTCCTGGAAGTCTAAATTCTGGGGTCCTTTTATGAAGGTCTATGTACCAGCCTTTATTGAAGGAGGGAAATTCTTGTTTGTTAATCCTCACCCAAGGATATTTTTTCCATTGAGAGAGTAGAAGGCGGGGAGGAGAGAGAGAAACATGTGAGAGAGACACATCCAGCAATCACCTCTGGAACACGCCCTGATGGGGGTCAGGGATCTAACCTGCAACCCAGGTACATATCTTTGACCAGGAATCGAATCAGTAATCCTTAGGTGAGTTGACTGATGCTCTAACCACTGAGCAACACCAGTCAGGATGAGGAAGAGAAATGTTTTAAAATTGTATTCTTTGTGAGGAATTCTTTCCACCAAAGAGGCCCTCTATGTGGCCTTTAAAAACTGAGCTAGGCCCAGCCGGTGTGGCTCAGCAGTTGATCTCAGTTTGATTCCTGGTCAGGGCACATGCCCGGGTTGCCAGCTCCATCCCCAGCAGGGGGCATGCAGGAGGCAGCCGATCAATGACTCTCATTGATGTTTCTCTCTCTCCCTTCCTCTCTGAAATCAATAAAAATATATTTAAAGAAAATTTTTTTTAAACAAAAAAAACTGAGCTAGCCCTGGCCAGGTGGCTTAGTGTGTTGGGAGTGTCATCCTGAGCACCAAAAGGTCGGGGGTTTGATCCCCTGTTGGGGAATGTATGGGAGGCAACCAACTGATGTTTCTTTCTCTCTCACATCGATGTTTCGCTCTCTCCCTCCCTCCCTCTCTCTCTAAAATCAATAAAAACATATCCTTGGGTAAGGATTAAAAATATATATATAGCCTAGCAGGGCGTGGCTCAGTGGTTGAGCTTCGACCTAGGATCCAGGAGATCAAGGTTTGATTCCCGGTCAGGGCACATTCCCGGGTTGAGGGCTCGATCCCCAGTCGGGAGCCTGCAGGAGGGAGCTGATCAATGACTCTCTCATCATTGATGTTTCTATCTCTCTCTCTTTCTCCCTTCCTCTCTCTGAAATGAATAAAGATATATTTAAAATATATATGTATATACACACACACATTTATGTATATAGAGGGTGTCCCCAAAAATGTAAATACACTTTAACAGCTGATAGCTCAATTTTGTAAATGAAATTTTACAAAATGAAATGTATTTTAATAAACATTGCCTATATAATTATTCAAAATGTGTGTATACATTTTTTTGGGACGCCCTACATACAAAAACTGAACTAAAGTGCCTTGGAGGCATCTCACAACCTGGATCCATTTCAAAGCAGTTAAACTTCAGAGTTAGGCCCCAAGAATCCCTCAGAGTAACTGTTGATACTAAATCTTTAAGAGTTTGGGGAAGGCAGCATCGTGGCTGTGGCGGGAGAAGGGGGGTATTTTTCCAATCTCCTTTTCCAGTGAATTTTCTTTCTCCTAAACCCGAAAGATCCCCACAAGACTTGCAACCAGGGGAGCAAGGGGCAGTGGCAGTTCCTCCCTGGCTAATGGGCTAACTCCTTGAACCTATCTCCAAGGCCCCCTTTTCACTGATTCTCCAGAGCTGACAGCGGCACGGCCTTAGCTCACGTCTTTGCCATGTTTTTAGAGAGCCAAAGCAGCCCCACTTAGGTTCTCTCCTGTTGCTGCTTCTATCCTAGGCCCTTCCTTGTTTCAATGTCCCCAGCTTTAATAAACATACTCTCAAAATAAATTTTAAAAATTTTAGACTTTTGGAAGGCACGTCTCAATTTGGGTTTGCTCATGGCCCCCCTGAGGGATAATGTCCAGCCCCAAGAGCTGGGGAAATTTGATGGCTGAGGCGGCCTGTTCCCTGTGAATATGACCGGGGCCTCTGGAAAGGTCATAATCACAGACGGGAGTTTCAGATGGATGCCTTGAGAATCTCAGAAGATGCAGCTACTTGGGCCGTGTTAAAAACCTGGCTCCTGCTTCCTTTTTTCTCTCCCTTATCTGGAAAGGATAGGAAATGCCAGCGAGTTTCGGGGGCAACATGGTCAGAGAGAGCGGAGCAGCTCACAAGAACGCTGCAAACGAGGGGGTGGAACCGCCTGCGGCGGGAATACCCAGCGTTCGATTCCCAGTGCTTTGCCTTGGGCGTCCCTGATTACAGTTTCTTGTTACAGGAAGCATGAAAGTTCTGTTTCAGAACTGGCGTTCTCTGATTTTCTTCAAAGAAGGCCTAAAAGACAAGCGGTCACTTTTTACATAGAACAGAGCCAGGTCCTGACTACATTTGTCCCCGTCGGCGCGCCGTAACCCTTGTTTTTGCCCAGCTCTGCGTCACCCCTCTTCTCGCAGAGCCGTCTGAACCTGGCTCTTTCTGATTGGCTTAGGTGAGCTCCAAGCCCTTCCTGATTGGAAGCTGAGACTGGGAGTCCGCCTCCTTTCCGTCGTAGGGTTCGGTTGAGCCTGAGGCGCGGGGGAGAATTGGGGAAATTGGAATTTCCCACGGAGTTGACGGCGCTTGCTCTCCCCCTACTCGTTTTAATTCCACGCGCTCCAAAATATCCGCCATGGAGAAATCTTGGTAATGACCCAATCCCCGAAAGCATCCTAGGAACACATCTGACCCCTGCCCTAAACCCTCTCTTCCCCACCTCCGGGGGAGAATTCTGGGTAGTTGATTTCTTTGGTTCCCCCAGGGAATTCTGGGTAACTAGCCATTTCTATCGCGCCACCCTACCCCCACCCTAATTTGTGGGTAACTGGCCATTCTTATTTTCCCCCAGAGAACCCTTGGTAACGTTACAGAGGGTTCTGGGAAACTGACTTACCTTGTTCTCAACTCTCCAACCCCAGCCCTAATTCTGGGAACTAGCACGGTAGCCCCCTCTACCTAATTCCTACCCCTGTATTTGCTGCAGTTCAGGGGTGAACCAGGCAAGTGAGCAGGCCTGAAGGGAAGTGAAAAGGAAGTCAAGGATTAGGTTAGACAGGAGGGTGGAGGGTGGGGACCACAGAGGGCCTAGATGAGAAAGGGAGGATACTTTTCCCGTCTCTGCCCCG